CTGCATGTATGTCTGTGTACCGTGTGTGTGTGTGTGTGTGTGTGTGTGTGTGTGTGTGTGTGTGTGTGGTGCTTGAAGAGCCCAGAAGAAGGGGTTAGATCCTTTAGAATGGGAGTTACAGATGGTTGTGAGCACTGGGAATTGAATCTAAGAGTAGCCAGTGCTCCTAGCTGCTGAGCCATCTTTTCAGCCCCACACATGGAATTTTGAATGTTTAGCAGTCAATATAAAACATCAAGAAAGAGGCAAGATTCACTTTAATAATTTATCTGCTTTAATGTATCTAAGACATTATGATTTGAACCGTCAATATAAAATGTCTACAATATGTCGTATAAGATTTCACATTGAAGATTTGCAATCTGGTGAGCATCTGGCCCTCAAGTTTGAACTAAACGTGTTCCACCATTTACTCACCCTAAGTGGCTGCCATGGTAGACAGCATGGCAGTAGAGTAGAGCTGAGGAAGACCTGCTTGAGTTGAAAGAGATTATCTTGAAGGAGAAAGTTGAAAGTTGTGCAGCTCTTGAAGTATTGCTACAGGAACCAGCTGTCAAAGGCACTGCAAGAGGAATGGAGTCAAGGTCTTCCCAGCTTCATTTGATCTCAGATGCAGAATCTGGTACGGCTGGTGGAGATAATGTTTTGAGATGTTCACTATAGTTGCCACATGTCCAGTTTCTTCCCTCATAGGGATAAAGACATCATGCTTCATTGGTGGTTCAGGGTAGGAACGTGGACTGAAGAACGTTGATGTCTTCCACTTTTGCTGTTGGACTTTTGTTAGAGAAGAGCCTTCCATCCACTTCTAGAACATCATCTCTTGAAGGAACTAATCTAAATAGATGGAGATACATAAGCAGACTAAGGATTCAATCATTTTCTCATCATAAAAAGTAGCAGATAGCCAGTCAAAGTGATGTTTATTTTTTACTCTTATCCAGTGTGTGTATGTGCATCACAGATCACATTTGAAAGTTAGAGGATGACCTTTAGGAGTTATTTCTCCCCCTCCACCATGTATGTTTTAGGAATTGAAATCATCTCCTTGGGCTTGGTGCCAAGTGCCTTTACCTGCCAAACCATCTCTCAATTTCCCAAGGGAATGTTTTCAGAATTTTGCAGTATTTTACTTTATAACACAGTACTTGGTACATAGTAGGTGACTTTTCTTGTCTGTAGAATGACATATCTGATTTTATACAAAGAAGATGAGTTTTAGTACCAGCTGAGAAGCTTTCAGTGTGTCTGACTGATGGAATGTGAACATGGCTGTCAAATGACATGGGGAAATACACTAAAACAGCAAGATAAACCCAATTGAGTCGACTGTAGCTTTTCTATTCATAGCCCCAGTGAGTGATGACAAACGTTTAGCATTTACCACAGTCCAAATCAAAACCCTCGAATGGTATGACCACAAAGGCTGGGAACTCTCAAGACAGTAGGCTAATGGACAAGATATATTTTTAATTACTGTTGGCATTTTGCTTGTACTTAATCCATTACATAGGAGCCAGGACCATGCCTCTTCCTCCTAGTTTCTGACTTCATCTGCTGCTGGGGCTGAGCTTGGCTAGCAGCATTAGGTGTAAGGCCAACCGCTAAGGGGGTGAGTGATTGACCTGGGTGACTTATCCATACCACAAAAGAAACCAAATGAGCACAAAGAAGCACGCAAGCAATGTCCTCAGATGTTCTTTGCTAATGTTTTCTGCTTATGAGGGTTTTTAGGCAAGATGCTGTATTGAATCCAGGCTAAGATCAAGCCTTTACCTTTACATTTCTCTTGATAACAGTGGATAAAAAGATTTGTTGTCCCAAGGGCTATTCCTAGGTGACAGAAGACTTAGAGTCAAATCTTTTCATTGGATACTATTTGAGCTAATCAAACCTTTCTAAGTTCTCATTGCATTAATTTATGGATTCATGATTTTAAAGCACCATCCTGTTTTCCCCAATTTCATTCTGTGAGTTGACTGACAAGAACTACTACAGACAAGAAAGATAGTTGCCACAGCATATTTGAAATGTTTAAATGACTCTTATGATTGACATTGAACATAACAGCACCAGGTAGCAACTGTAAAAGGTGACAATGTCTCTTTGCCCATAGTGATTTTATGTTTATTTCTCTTTTATTTTAAAACTGTATTTATTTATTTATTTATTTATTTATTTATTTATTTATTTATTTATTTATTTATTTATTTATTTATGTGTGTGGTGGGGCCCATGTGCATCATGGTGCCCTTGTGGAAGTCAGAGGACAACTTGCAGAAAATCGTTTTTTTCCTTTTACCATCTGGATCCTGGGGATCAAACTCAGGTCACCAGGCTCAGTGGCAAGCCTCTACCTGCTGAGCCCTCTTGAAGGCTCCTGGATTCTTCTTTTGAACTGACTTATCATCTCCCGACACTACACTGCCAGACATACTTTTCCTGTTAAATATATACATATTTTTCCTTCCTCTCTGCTTGCTTACTTTCACTACAGAGTGACAGTTTTCCTATTATTTTTGTTTTGTATTCACCCTTTGCCCATTTCCCAATAGCCCATGTCACTGGTTTTTAACAGAAATGTAATCTTATTTAAAATCCTCTTATTTTGTGTAACTTCCCATTAAGTCACAAGTGTGTGTCTATTATAGATATCATACACACGGTCTGTGAACATTGTCTAGTGACACATTACAAACCATCTTACAGTACAGTGGCTTCAGATGAAGCCAGTTTACAACTGTCAATCCCCTGTAGCTTAGGACCACTGCAGGGATCTGGGCCCAACAGCTCTGCTGCAGGATGTCAGCAAGGGTCACTCATTTAGCCATATACGGTTACCAACAGAGATGAAGCAGGTGATCTTAGATAGTTTCCCATATGTTACAGGCATTATAACCACCTCTCCTGAGGCTTCTGTCTCCCCAAATGACTTGGGCTTTCTTGCAGTATAGAGAGACCTTCTGCATCTTGGCTGCCTTCCATAGTATTCCAAGATTTAAAGGCAAAACCTTAGGATTGTTGTTGCTGGCTTTTGTTTTGTTTTTCTTTTGTGGAGTCTACCACCTAGCTCCCAAACCAATCACTCACAGAGAGGCTTATTCTTAATTATGAATGCCCAGCCTTAGCTTGGCTTGTTTCTTGCCAGCTCTACTTAACTTAAATTATCCTGTCTACCTTTTGCCTCTGGGCTTTTCCTGTTCTCTTACTTCTGCAAATCTTACTCTTATTCCATGGCTTGCTGTGTGACTGTCAGGTATTTTAGACAGGCAGAGTAACACAGCTTCACAGAGTTAAATAAATGCAACAAAAACAAAAGTAACACACCTTAAAATAATATTCCTCAACATTTCCCCTTTATTTGTCTAAATAAAAATGAAAGGTTTTAACTTTAACATAGTAACACTATATACAACAAAAATTATCAAGTAGGAATTACATTTACAGTATTCTGTCCATTTGTAGTTAGCATATTCAAAGAAAATAATTCATTATCTATCCTATCTTAGTGAATCCAAAGTTTTACACCTAACTTACTTTCTATCATAACTAAGAAAAACTGCAACTATAACTATCTAGTCTTCAACTCCATCAAAGACCTGGAAGGATATAACATCTGAGTAAACAAAAAGAACATTGCAAACAACTTCCAAAACTCCAGGAATGACAGAGACATCTGCTGTCTGGACAGTCACCCAAAGTTCCTGCTGCAACATTGAGGCAACCATCTTCAGCCTAAAGGCCCGTGGTATCTGGTGAACTTTTCAGTGAAGCAGGAAATTTGAAGGTCTGTCATGACTTGTTTTGGCAAAGTCCAGCAGTCACTTTCATGTGTGTCCTGCAGAATATCTGGTAGACTCTTTTATGAAGCAAAAATTTTGAAGGACTGTCCTGCCTTGTTTTGGCAAAGTTCAACAGTCTTTTTCCTGTGTGTCCTGCATGTCCAGTCTACACAGCACATTGTCAGCAGTCAAAGACAAGAACAGTTTCTTTGCCCAGTGGCTAACCATGCCACAATGAAAGCAAACTCCAAAGGCCATCATCTCTGAAGTAAATTGGTGCCAGGAACAAATGTGTCTCATTGTCATGAAAAACTTTATGTTAACAGAACATTTTAAGTGCCATATTCTGTAGGTCTTGGAAAGGGTTGAAGACCACCTATCTATCTAAAATATATCTCTATATGATCTGGAAAGTATACCTAACATAACTACAAATTTGATTGTTATAAGTTATAACTGCTAACTTATGTTCCTGATTATCCTATATAGTTTATAATAGTTTTCAAAAAACTAGAACTTCACCCTACGTTTCCAAATAAACTGCATAGGCACACTATCTCAAACAAAAATAGAAACATACATACAATATGTTGTAACAAAAATAACCTTAAAATTTCATCAATATACCAAAATCCTTTAAACAAGAGAAGAAACATACAAAAATAAGTTTAAATTTGTATCAATACCCTATATTCCCCTAAATGATAACAAACATCCATAACCTACCAAATAACCAAAAGGCTCCCACAACCCTCTTGGGAATGTGGATGTTGTTTTCTCCAAATTGCTTCCTGCTGATTGTGGATGAAGTACCTTTAAGATCCCCTAGAGAAAATTTCAGATAATAGCCACATCCTGGGAAGATCAGCAGCAATCTTTGCTGATAGATATCATTCACCAAGATTCAGGAGGTCTTGCATGACCACACCTGATCCATATTAACCCTGAAGGAATCCACAGCCTCTCATCTCCCGTGGGAACAAAACTTCAAAGCATTTTTTATTTCCATTTGACAAATATATTTTTGACTTCTTTTTTAAAGCATTCCTAGAATATGTAGGTTGATTCATTTAAGCAGTCCAGTTCACAGTCTCATAAGTCCTAGCAGCTGTCTTTTGCTCACTAGCCATCAAAAAATTCAAAACCAACACAATACTATGCAGGATGCAGACTCACTGTGTGCTTTCCATCTTTACATGGCTTTTTCTTTTATATCACTTTTATTCTCTATTTAAAGACTTTTCTATTTTTAAACTACTTCTGTCTTCCTGTGACTGTCTATATCCATATTCCTTCTTTTTAAAGCCTATGCACATTGTAAAACACCCTGTAACCTGTTTAGAGATTTTTATGTCTGGACCTATTTTATTGCGTATCTTCAGCCTTTTTTTGATCATATGAGCAAACCTTTAAACTGATAATCTACACCTGGATGCTCTTCAAGCAGCTCTCAGTGGGCAGCTTGCTTCACTGGCTTCTTGGATCATGAAAACCAAGCATGAAGCTCGAGGCAGGTTGGA